AGAGAGAGAGAGAGAGAGAGAGAGAGAGAGAGAGAGAGAGAGAGAGAGAGACTCTGTTGGCACCTGGATATCTGCCAAAGGCGAAAAGAACAGGCTGATGTGGGAAGCAAAAGATCTGGGGTATGAGACGGCTTTAGAGCAGTCTCTCTCAACTTTTGTTTTTGGTCAAAACACCCTTGGGGGTCACATAACCCTTTCACAGTTGTCGATGAAGACCATCTGTTTGTTATAAATCTGATGAACAGATTTTTATACATTACGATTTATAACAGTAGCAAAGTTTTAGTTACAAAGTAGCAACAAAACAATTCTATAGTTGGAGGTCATCACAACATGATGGAACTGCATTAAAGGGTCACAGAATTAGGAAAGTTGAGAACCACTGATCTAGAGGGAGCTTTTGGAAGTTTAGAACTTACTAATTCTATGGGTACTCATGCATGTCTATGTGTGTTGATGAACACGTGGGTGCTGGTGTCTTCAGAGTTCGATCCTAGAGCTAGAGTTGAAAGCAGTTGTGAGCGAGTGGCATGGTGTGGGTTGGTGCTGGGAACTGAACTTGGATCCTCTGCAAAAATCCAGAATATGCTCTTAACCACCCAGTTATCTTTCCAGCCCCAGAAAGTTTTAAAAAGCTCAAGCCAGAGCCAGCCAAGGGGCAGTCAGGCAGTGCAGCACTGTGAACCCCCAGGTCATCATATGCATCTCCCACTGTGCCAGCCAGGATGCTGAGGAGGAGGGGTGGAGAAAGAGGGGTCTGAGTAGGCCAAGGTGGAGGCAGAGCCAGAAAAGGCCATGGGGAAGGACAAACCCTTAGAAAAAAAAAAAAAAAAAAAAGGGCAAGTGAAAGGGAGTGAAAGGGAGGAAGGAAGCAAAGGGCAAATAGTCTGAAGCAGCTGAGCTATAGAACTGCCTGCAGAAAACAGAGAAAACCAGCCTCTGGAGTGGAAGAGAAAGAAGCCACCCTATGGCTAACCATGCATAGAGTCTGTCAGTGGTCCCTGTCTCCCTTCTTATATCCAGAGAAACATTTTTTATCCAACTATCCAATAATTGGGAGTCTTTTTAGTAGCTCTAGAAACATTTTTAAATGGGGGCAAGTCCTACCTCATCTTGCTTTCCTTTTAAGTGTAAATGATTTTTTAAGAGGTGAAATCATTCAGTGTTTGTTTATTTTTGGTACAACCAGAGCATAGGAGGATAGTGGATTAGGAAAGGCTGTGGCTCTCTAGGGGGTCTGTGTAACAATCCATATATGGGGCTACTTTTATAGCCTACAACACAAAGCTTACTTAATTGCAGTTCAGAGACTCAGCAGTGCATTTATGTCTAGAATATTTTCAGTTACATCTGGTCTCGTATTTCTCATAGAACAGTTTCCTACAAATCCACTCCCTGGTTCTTGCCTTGTCTGGAATATAATCCCTCTGATTGTGGCAGTCCATTTTCCTAATAATTGTAATAATGTGCTGTGAAGGATGGGAAATTAGAGTATGTGCTCTATATGGCATAAGATTTGGGAATCAGTGGAAGATCATGAGGGCTTGACCCTGCTGTGTGAGATCTTCTTAAGGAAAACTTGCTGCTAAGTTTGAGGCTGAAATATCACAGAGATAACTTCAAAAAGAAACAATTATGAGGCTCTTCAGGAGCGTTTTGGTACCTGACTTCAGAATTTTGGTCCATGTGTTAAGAACTGTATATGAATGAAACATCAGTGCATCAATGCTTGACCAATAAAATCTCAGAGAGCTCAAGCTGGATGGGTTAGAACATTTACAATCCTAATTCTTGGAAAGCTGAGGCAGGAAGATTGCCACAATGCCAGGCCAGCCTAGGCAACAGAATGAGACCCTGGAGACAGGGAGAGACAGAGACAGAGAAACAACAAACCCACCAAACAACTCTTAATGGAAAACATATGTAATTATCAGGTATATTCTCAGGAGAGATGTATGGATATTCACATGTATAGAAAGCACTAGAAAAGCATGATAGAAGTCTACCAAAAAGGCAAGAGAAAGCTAAAGCAGTATTTTACAATTTTGGATCAATATGCTAGCAAAACATAAATGTCCACAGCCCTCACAAATAATTCATTTTTTAAAGATCTAATTCACCAGTCACTAAATTAGTAGCAACAAACTCTGGGATCTCTCTCTTTCTCCCCTCGTGTGTGTGTGTGTGTGTGTGTGTGTGTGTGTGTGTGTGTGTGTGTGTGTGTTGCAGATGGAACTCAGGTTTTTGCTTTTGTTTTGTTTGAGACAAGGTTTATCTGTGTAATATCCTGAGCTGTCTTGGAACTTGCTTTGTAGACCAGCCTGGCCTAAAACTCACAAAGATTCACCTGCCTCTACCTCCTGAGTGCTGGTATTAAAGGCTAGCGCCACCACACCTGGCAAAACTCAGTTTTTACAAGCTAGGCCAGTCCTTTGCCATTGAAGACAACTCAAGAACTTGCTTTATTGATTCAGTCTCACTATATAGCACACATTGAACTTGAACTCATGACTCTTCTCTGTCAGCCTCTTGAGTGCTGGGATTACAGCTGTGTGTCACCATGCCCAGATGTCCACTGACATCTTAAAACTGCACAATGCATTGTGTTTAACTCCCTTCAGCCTGATTTCTTTTGATAATGTTTATTACAAAAGAAAATATTTACATTGAACTAATGGCACCAGCATCCCTCCAGGACATTTAATAAGAAAAATCCCTAAATAGCTTCTTCGTCATCTCATCAACTAGCACACCCAGGCTTTAAGCACTTACATGTGCACAGACTATCTGATGCTACTTTCATTGTCCATATAGTGTTAATATCCTTTCTTTGAAATTTTTTAGTAGAAAAGATTATTACTCTGTCTTTGTCTGTGGCTGGAATCTTTCTTGGGCTGAGTTTAGGCCCTCTATAATTTCATAGGTCAATCTGCACACTATCTGTTACAAGCCAAACAAATGACCACTGCAAACACTATGACTGTCTTGCTATTACAGGTGGGAACTTCATGCATCTCTATGTGCCTAGAGGGCCTAGCCCAGTAAAGAACACAGAATGCAGAATAATGAAAATACTTTAATCAGTCAATGAATGAATGAACGAACAAAGCATGAGTGGAATACAATCCTACTGAATCCTCCACTCTCAAAGGAAGTCAGCTTAGTGGAATCCTGGAGGAGAAGAGGTGTCACCATCCACTAAATACTGAGATATACTCTTTTGATACTCATATACATTAAACTTTGAAAATGTATAGAGAATGTTCAGGTAAGAGTGATCAAGGGTCAGTGGTGTTTATCCCAGATTTGGTGACTGAGGGCAGATGCAATTTCAGCATGTGTGTGGTAAATATGGGTTTGTTTAGTAACCATGTAGTGCCCTGGCATCCCAATGAAAATGAAGGTGCTGAGGAACGCTATGCCAACTGTGGTTCACTGATATAATACTATGCCAAAAATAGAAAAATGAATAATTTTTTTTCTCTGATTAGGAACTGGTTGATTAGTGGTGGATAGGGGAGCAAAGCATATCAGTTGAAGCACAACAGGTTAGGATTTGTATATGAAATGAGAAAACATTTCCCAAGACCTAAACAGGGATAACATCAGGGGACATGCTAACACAAAGTGGGGAGATCTATCAAAGCTTCAACCTTACACAAAGAACTACAGGCAATGAAAAAATGCAGAGAGCAGGAAAATCGTCTTCCCTGACAAGAGGACACCAATGGGATATACAACACCATAACGCATAGCATCTACATATCTACATACAAGTAACATATCTATATACAAATAACATAATACAGATTTTTAAGATTGTATTTATATATTCAGGAACACACACATACACACACACACACACACACACACACACACACACACACACACACAAAAAAAAAAAGAAAAGGAAGCTA